CATCACTCTGAAATCAGTCTGGAGATTTTTCGCACTCAACATGAGGAACGAAATTCGGATTTTCAACAGCAATGTTAAGTCAGTCAGTTCTTCTATATTGGTCAGAAAGTTGGCGTTCGCGTCACCAAAAACATTTCCGACAGACTGCCCTATAGACTTTTAAAAAACTTCATGCAATTCTTCCCATTAATAAACTTGAACAAAGCAAGAACAACAATTGTGCCAGGATAATATGAGCTCATCTTTTATTATTTCGAGGATTCTCCTCAACTGGTTACAACCTGAACGATAAGGATATGAATTACATTACATTAAAGATTTGAACATACTTTTCCACGATCACAAGGAGTAATTGGTTGGTAGGAAGTAAAAGTAACATTAGTCCGGAATGATTTAACTAATTAAGAGTTACAAACACTGACTATTTATAGAATAATTAGACAATTAGGCTTGGAAACAAAAACAGAGTTGCATATATGTATATATATGTGTATAGAAACAAGGTTTAGCTAGACAGAGCATAACAAAAAGGTTGATTACGTAACTGAGGAAAATATTTTATCTAATAGCCAATAGAAAAAAAGGAAAAGAAAAGAACAAGATAGGGTGAGTCATGTTTAGATGAGAGAGCAGAGTTTTCTAAACAAGAAAAAGGGTGACTCATACAAGTTGTCTATTTTGTTGTCACCAGGGCAGTGCAAGATTCACCACTGTCTCTTTCTGCGTACATAGATTTGGTTTAAGTCGTCTGATAGCAATTGCTTCAGCAAAGCGTCGCGAGCTAGGCTTCTTTTGCTTGTTGATTATTTTGAATGACTTCAAGTTGTGTACATTATGACCAGTGTCTAATAGATGACGCGCAATTGCACTGTTTAATACTTGTGAACCTTTCAGTCTCAGGTTCTTTGGTATGTGTTCAGAAATGCGGACAATAACCCTTCTCTTTTTCTATTGGCTATTAGATAAAACATTTTCTTTAGTTACGCAACCCACCTTTTTGTTATGCTCTTTCTAGCTAAACCTTGTCTCTATACGCAACTCTGTTTTTTTTTTGTTTCCAAGCCCAATCGTCTAATTATTCTATAAATAGTCAGTGTTTGTAACTCTTAATTAGTTAAATCATTCCGGACTAATGTTACTTTTACACTTCCTACCAATTACTTCTTGTGATCGTGGAAAAGTATGTTCAAATCTTTAATGTAATGTAATTCATATTTTTTATCGTTCAGGTTGTAACCAGTTGAGAAGAATCCTCGAAATAATAAAAGATGAGCTCATATTATCCTGGTACAATTGTTGTTCTTGCTTTGTTCAAGTCTATAGACTTTTGTCAACAGCCGCCTCCTTCTTTGGCTCCATACTGAAGATCAGATAGCCAGCTGGTCAGAAAGAAAAGATGAGCAACAAGAAACTCTGGGAACAAACCAGTCAAGAACTTATTACTCGGAGAATATGTAGAAGAAAATGGAGATGAGTTGCATACACAGTGTCGAGACCATTGAGTGACATCGCACACCAGACTATCGCTCGAGTAGAACCTGAGTGGAAAACGATGAGTTAGGCGTCACTTCCAGGTTGACATGGAGATCGTGTGAGGTGGAGGAAATGAAAGATTGTGGGAAATTGTGGAGCCAGCTGAAGAGGAATCCAGAGAACAGGGTGCAATTGAGATGTGCTGTTGAACCTCTATGCTCCACTCGGGACTCAAAGGAACAGTAATAATAATAATATAAACTAGATGAAGTTTAAGAGTATTCTGGAGGATAAGAATGGAGCTACCCAGACGAAGTGATTAGTTGGAGAAGATTCTACTGCTGTGTTACTGACACACAGGATTCGAAACATTACTCTGCGAATCACGAGCCTAACGTTCTACAAACTTCTGTATTTTTCCAACACAGAGTGTACATTATCTGATGTACTCGGAGATTAACTGTTTGACTCTCTGGGTTACCAATTCCTCAGTCGCACAATTTCTATAGAAATAGTTAACCTATGCCTCAGGTTGATGCAAATGGTATCAATTAAAAAAAAATTAATTTTGGCTTCTCGTAAAAGTCTCAAGAATAATTATTACTACTGTGGTGAGAGCTGTCTACTAGCCAAAGTTAGTAGACAGTAATTGACGTCAATGTTTATGTCCCCAATATTGGTGGTGAGAAAATGAGAACAAAGGCTTTGCGTAGGCGGATACAGTTAGCATATGGATGATGATCTGACACAGCCACAAAGAGATGCAAGGTTAACCTTCTGTGAGAAACAACCAATCAAAAGACTGTATTTTCTCCTAACAATAATCTACAATAATATACATTAAAATCTATAAATATGTGTTGATTTTCCTTAATAAACGATGTGTTGCCTGGCCCTTGTCTTCTGTTGTTACACTACTACCTTGGGCTTCGAAATCACACTTCCATATCATCCTCTCCTATGCAGTCCTTTATAGCGAGTTCCATGTTTGTCCGTAAATTCATCTCCTGCTTACATGATATCCTCCATGTTACCTTTGGACATATGCCAAACTAGTCGTTTCTCATTCGACTTCTAGTTGAGGGCCTGCACTGCGCGAATGTCACTCAAAGGTCTCTTCAGCGTGTGTCTAATCCATCCCCATTTCCTGCTTCATTTTGATTAGGCAAGGTTTTTATTGCCTGTCAAAGCCTCTCGATGCTAATTCTTTCTGGTCATCTAATCATCAGTATGGAGCCAAGGAGGGAAGCTATCGATAAAAATCTGCAGTAGAATGTTGAAAATGGTTTTGGTGACGGGTCAAGTCCTTTGACGTCAGTGTTGTTCCTTATGATGAGTGACGCAGCTTTCTTCACTGATTTCAGAATGATGAAGTCCTCAACGGTGCAGATTGTAGCTGAAACGATACTGTTTAGATTGATGAGAGTGGTGACTCTAAACGCCTGTGATTGATAATGATTTGTGTTTATTCTGGGTGGTAACATATCTTCATCACATTTCCACTCTCTGTGTCCACGTGAAGTCCCATCTTTGCTGCCTGTCTCTTCTTCAAATTCATTGGTTTTCACCTTCAGGTCTTCGAGTTTGTGTGACATTAGACATAAATCACTCACGAAGTTCAAATCTTCCAGAGTTTTCTTATTGGTCCTGTGTATTCTTGTCTTCAGGATGATCCAATATGCTAGTAATATCATGGGTGATAGCAGTCAACCGCCTTGTCTTACTCCTGTATTCCCTTAAAAGGTTTCCTTGAGTTCTTCTTCTCTGTGCATCGCTTGTTATGTGACATTGTCATACAGCTGTTGAGTGAGCTTGATAAAAATTTGAAGCATGCTGTAGCGCTGAAGCAGTCGCCAAATTACGACGCGGTGAACACTATTGAAGGCTTTTTTCAAAGTCAATGAAGTTGAGGTAAAACATCTCAAGAATACTCTCATCAGTAGTTCAGTCTCGGCAAAATATCAGGAGTGTGATATCAACTTACCGATGTAGACAGGTCGCCAAAGAACTTTACATAACAGTGAGTCAATTCACGTTAGTAACACTGCCAACTTCTTCAGAGAATATCAAAAATATTTTATTCCTAGTATACGTAAAACATAGTGGGTCGATGGTATAGCGGTTAGGACGCTCGCCGACCAAGCACATGGTCCGGAGTTCGATCCCCGGCCGACAAACTCCTTTACCTCGCTAAGCCAGAAATAATGCTGGTGAAGAGGAAAGGTTGGGCATGAGGCTAGCAACCCCATCCTGTAAAATAAAACACTGCTACAGAAACTTCAAGCCACTAGCTTGAAGCCCTATGTTCTACGGGGGAATGTGAAGGAAAAAAATACGTAATACATAGGTGGTCCAACAGTGGAATACTTGATGACCACGCTTCAAGTGGTTCGGGGTTTGATTCCCATTTGACGCTCTCCTAAATCTCTTGACATCCGGCTGTCAACCAAGGGACGTGTGTACTGATCAGCAGTTCGCTCCGTCCTTCTCCATGGCGGTGAGACGTGGCCATTGAGAGCGGAAGACATGAAGAGATTGTCTGTTTTTGACCACAGATGTTTACGATCTCTTTCTCGCGTTAGGTGGTATAATAAGGTAAGTAATGTTGACGTTAGGCGTAGAGTGTTGGGCAAAGAGGGAAAATCAATCGAAGAGGCTATGAAGTTATATAGATTGAGATGGTTAGGTCACGTGCTGCGCATGCCTAACCATCGCCTCCCGCACCCAGACGGGCATTACTAGCTGATATAGGTGCAGGTTGGAAAAGAGTAAGTGGTGGCCAAACAAGAACATGGCATCAATCCATGGAATCCCTAACAGTTAAAGTGAGTCAGGTAGGGAGATGCAGACTCCTTGGTTGGGGCCATCGGGACTCTAAGAATCAATGGCTGGAGACAATAGGTGACATGGCTCAAAATCGTTGTCAATGGCTTACGCAGATGTATTCAGTCTCTTGTGTAATCTTTCATATTCCTTTATACCATTAGCCACTCTGTTTCACTCTTATACTTATCTAAATTCTATTGATTCTCTTCTCTCCTTTTCCTGTCTACCTTTGTGTGCTATTTGGAACGTGGCAACTCGAACTGCTACACTTCGATGCCAAGTTCTATGTTGAATCCAGCAGCAGCAACAGCTCCTAAATCTCACTAAGCCAGTAATAAGGATGGCAAAGATAAAGAGGGTTGAGCTAGCATAAGGCTAGCAACCCTACCTCGTAAAAATAAACTCCATTGTTACCGAAACTTCACAGCTCTAGCTTGAAACCCTATGTTCCAGTCGGAACTTAAATGAATAAAATAAACAGTACGTTGAGGAGGCCATCATTCGAGTGGAATCCAAATGGGAAGCGACGAGTGGGTCGTCCTAGGGTGACATAGAGAAGATTGTGCAACCCAGCTGAAGAGGAGGGCACAAAATAGAATAAAGTAGAGACGAAATGTGTTGTTGAAGCCTTATGTTCCACTCGGAACCCAAGTGAATAATAATACTAATAATAAATGTTCGTAGAAGTTACAATTACTTACCCATCCATTTTTCTTTGAATTACTTCCAGAAGATTTTGTACCAGATGTTGATGTTCTTCTCTCGGTTGAATTTTCCCCCTGTGACTGATTACCTTCTACATCTGTAAGACTTAAATTTGAATTTGTTAAACTTGTCCTGTTTATCGTGTGTTGTTGCTCACCAACACTGACACCACTTTCTTGTTTTAATGTATCTTTTGTACTTGATCGATTTAGCTCACAAGGTCGATTGATTGGTGGTTTTTTTAAAAGTCCTAATTCTGTTTGACTACGTAATGCATCAATTGTAGCTCTTAATTCATGCAATTCGGAATCCTTATAAGATATGAAAAATTAAAATTTATATAAATGGATAAATTTTGTGAAAATGACAAACTTGTATTATTTTTGAAAACTGTGACAATCAACATTTAATTAACTGAAAAAGTGGAGTGCTTAGATAAGCACAAAAACATCAGAGAATGAACAGTTGGTACGTATCCGTAGTTTACTTCTCTTAGAATGCCATCTGTCAGTAATAGGCATCATCTTCACAACGATGTAAAGACGGAACTAAAATAACCTGACGCCATATTTCCTCAGCTAACAAGTGCTATTGACATAGTGCTCGGCCTTGCATGTCGCAATGACCCAACGAGCTAAACTGGCTGGAATGAGCATCGCTGCAGGTCCTGTCATGATAGGAAGATTACTGCAGTAAGGTGTTTCAGACGGACAACCCACAAGGCACCTATGCAGCCTCTCCGCTCTGAGGAGAAGGGGTTAGAAGACTTTTTGGGTGGGGGTGAACGTTTCAATCGCTATGCTTTCTCACCTATCCATGAATATATCTACTACAACTGGGGATATTAGTGATCCCATGGCAACTCCCTCAATTTGTTTGTATATTTTCCCTTGGAATTTAAATACTGTGGAAGTCAGGCATAGCTGTACTCTCAGAATTATGTCCTCAAGTGGCACTTTGTCCTAACTTCCAGTTCTTCGTCAGAAATGAGTTCGTTTCTGACTGCCTCTATAGCCATATTTATTGGTATACGTGTATGTAAACTGACAATGTCAAAACTAACCATTTTTTTCTTCATTATCTAATTTTAAATTATCTAATCTGTGTTTTAATTCATAAGAATTAGTTAGTCTAGATTTCGAGTGGATTTTTAGGGGATTTAATACCATGGCTAAATATTTAGATAATTCATATGTAGGTGAATTTCTAAAATCAACTATAGGCCTAATAGGGTATCCTGACTTATGAACTTTAACAACACCATGCATCCTACTGGGGTTATTAGTTTTGGGCATTAAATTAAACCACTTAGACTAACCTAGAAACGGCTTCATTGGGCGTATAAGGTCCGCTGTGGACTTCTTAACTTTATTCATAACTGTATCTATTGGTTAATTAATTTCCTCATATGGTCCTATATGACACATATGATATGTTCATTCAGACTTATACGATGGAGGTCCGTACACAGAAAAATGTTTCTTCATATAGAAACAACTCAAAAAATAACTTCAAACCCACCATACGTGACCAGCCTTACACTGTCCAACTATATTACTTTTTAATAGTTTCACCTCATTCTACACTATTGTGTGATTATATGCAAGTGAATATATTGCAATGGCCGATTCTTTTTTCTAGATTATTAACTTAATTAGCAAGGACAGTCATTATAGATCTAACTACCTTCTTATACATTACGCAACCATGACTCGACCGGGAATCGAACCCCAGACATTGAGGTTATAAGGTGATCTCATCGGTCATCAAGTCACTGGGATGGAATCTAACGGCCTACTCATGAATTCTACCTTCTGCACACTCCAGATTTATGGCGAAAATGTTACCAGAAAATGCTATTGCCGAATATTTATCCTCAAGGCGGTATCCCAGTGGTCGCAAACTCTCACTAGAACTGCAGACAAATTCATGAAATTAAGGGAAAAGCCTGAAAGAATCCAGACGGTGCCAAAGAAACTGCTGTTTATGAGTGTTGAATTCAAAGGTGATACCGCAGCTGAGATCCTAAAGAATCGCTTATGCAAATCACTGAATAAAGCCTTCTTTATCGCTGAGCTACGTATCAATTTCTATAGCCGACAAATGATCAGCGGATGTGTGAAGGATAAACTGCCACCTCAATGTGTGTTTATAAATTCACCTGCTAGTGTGGAGCTAGTTATATTGGCCGCACAAAGTGCACGCTTTCCAAATGCATCTCTGAACATTATCCGGCATGGTTAGCAAAGGGACAATGTAAGACAATTACTAGCTCAATTCTCGAGCATTTGGTGAACTCAGGCCACGTAGCTCCACCGGAGTCGTCTTTCAAGATGATCTACAAAGTGAAGCCAAATGGTACAAAGGGCGTCAGGTTTCGGCTTTTGTGCATAGCGGAGGTGCTGGCAATTCATCAATACAACCCCGAACTCTGTATACAGACGAAAAGTTTGTCCAGTCTCTTATTCTACCTTGGTCTTAACCTTTTCAATAATCGTTCCCTGTTACAAAAATTGTGATTCTTTTCTTTTCTTTTTTTGTAATTTTTAATCTTACTTTTAGTTTACTTTCGCTTTAATAATGAATTCACTATTATCACTCTCGTATGCTCCTTTTGCATATTTTCACACACTCTTCACACTTGTTAAACTGACACTCAACAATTATGTCAGCGCCCCCCTATTACTCAATAATAGATTACTGTACATTTTTGGTAAGCATAAATACGATTGTACAGCCTCTAAAGATGATTTCGTCGATAAAGAAAATTTTCTTCGCTGAATCTGTCTTTTATTTTCTTTATGACTCAATGGGTATTTTCGGTGACAAATTCCTTCTTTAATAAGTCAACGGTGTTTCAGATTCGTTTTCATGCGTTAGTTTGCACAGAATCTACTGTTGTTAAGTTAAATTACAAGTTGGCATCAGTTGGAGTACTGTTGGAAACCAGAAAGTATTGAACGGCAGTTTCGTCCTTACTTGAGACTCCTCATCAAAGCGCACCTATGATTCCACCAGGTGTCGAACCCAAAACCTTCAGGTTACAGGTCAGAAATCGTTCAGCCAGTGAAACGAAATTCAATGACCCATAAAAATGTAACTTTTGTCAGTGGATGTCTCAGCGAAATCAGTCCTTGATCAAACTTCAAACCAATCAAATGCCTACAAAGGAATGCTTTGAAATTCCTGTTTTCCGATAATGTAACAGACCCTGACCTACTAGGGTATAATTTTGAATTATATTCCACCACAACAGCCGAATTCTACTCCTGTTAACAACTTGAAGTTATTACCAAACGAACAGCCTACCAGTAAGCACGGAAAAGTATGAGAAAAACGAAAATTTCCTGAAGATGATTGAAATGCCAGTCAAAAACATCTACTCCAAAGACTGTCAACTCCGTGAATGCTTAGAACAGAACAATATATATATACTACTAATTACAAATAAGTAGAACACATTAATGAGATCACGTCAGTTAGAGATATAGTTGATTCTAATCAACATGAATCATGGACAAATGAATGACTGTTTCCAATGAAGGAATACATTGAGATAATCTGGGGTTCGGGTGGGGTGGGTGGTGTGAATAGTATACGCATCGTTATGAAATCAAATGAAAAATAATGACTACAATTCATCAAAAGTAACTTACTTTCTTTGTTGTTGTATTCGTTAAATTCTGTAGACGTTGGGACATATTATTCAAACTTTGCTCAAAAGCTGAGACAACATGAGCCTAGAGTGGAAGAGAGGGAAAAACAAATGAAAGAATTTATATACCAAGGAAGAGAAGATTAAATTGCCACGACAACTACCACCTTAGGTTGTACGATACATTGGACAAGGAAAAATTAACTGAAGTCAAATATTCATTCATTATTTCATGCCATCGCCAGGCATCTCCTTGACACGGGTCATGAGGTGGAGGTCAAAAAGTCGTTCATAATTATCAATAAGCAAAAGAGCTCAATTCTCCTTAAGTTTGATGAAGCCATTTCCATCGAGCGCCTGAAGCATGACTTGTGCGTTCAGAAAGAAACAGGTATCAGTCTTTCCTTGCCCTGTCTGGTAACTGGATATTTTCATCTCTCTTTCATCTGAAGGCGAAATGCTGAAAAGTTTCCATTGTGCATGATTATTATTGTTCAGAATAGTATTTAATATTGCATATATATATGTATATATAATTACTGTATGCAATTACTGATCGATTGATTTTTTGTTTACAATGAACTCTGTTCAAGTATGTTAAAATAGTTTTTGTAGATACATTTAATAATGTCTTTGACCTGTAAGCAGCTGACGAGAAGGCAGCGAAATAAACAGTGATGGTACCATTTTATTCTGCAAAAACCACTGTTGTTCTTGCTTTATTCAAATTCATTCATTATTATCTTTACAACGATCCGACCAAGGACCTATTCCTTAACAAACATGCTGAAGATAACTGAGGTGGATTGGACATGCACTGAGAAGATCGTTGAGTGATATTCCGTGCTAGGCAGGCACTCAAGTGGAACACAAATGGGACACGATAAGTTAGGCGACGATCCGAAGATGACATGGTGGAGATCGTGTGAGGAGGAGGAGGACACGGAAGCTTATGGGCAATCCTGGAGTGAACTAAAAAAGGAATTCGATGAAGCGGATGAAATGTCGATGTACTGTTGACGCCCTATGTTCCATTCATAACACAAAGGAATAATAATACCTCTGCCTATATCCTAATAGCATCAAAAGTTACAGGATTTCATCATGAGCTGACATTGGTCAGAGAACCATTAGAAAGCCTGCAAGGAGTACTGGACAACTGTTTCGTCAGCCTAGTTCGGGGCTCTTCATCAGTACGCACCCACCGGGGTTAGAACCCAGGACCTTATGGGTAAAAGGCAAGATCGTAGACCATTAGACCACTGGAACCCGATCCAATGGCCCATGAGTTCTAACAACATAGCGTGACCAGTAGCCAATGTCTTCGGCGAGTATTTATCCTCACACCCGACACGATGAGGGACTTGCGAAGTAAGCAGTAGATGCGTACGAACTCTTCATTCTGTTGATGCTTTGTGCCTAGATATTGCGGAATGAATTAAACCATTCCACTCCTGACCAGTCGGGAGTGAGGATGGAGTTCCACCGAAAACATTGGTTGGTGGTCCGCTAAAAATCACGAATCCATTTAAGTTAGAATTCATGGACTGGCCATTGGACCGCGTCCCAGTGGCTTAATGGTCTACGAGCTCGCCTTGTAACCAGAAGGTTCCGGGTTCAAATCCCGGTGGGCGCGTACTGTGAAGAGTCCCGAAATGGGACGAAACAGCTATCCAGTACTCACAGGTTTTCCAGTGGTTCTCTAACCAATGTCAGCTCATGATGAAATCCTGTAACCAATCAAATCCCTACAAACCAACACTTGAATCATCAAAAGTACTTTAGAGTTTCTTGACTGAAAGCAGTTACCCAGATTGAATTTCGATATATGACGAGAAGTGTTTTGAAACCATCTGATTTCCACAGAGATCTTTCAGACGGATAACTATGATGCCATGTAATGAGATTATGAATTCCATACACCCTTCGGTTCTGAATGTAGAATTCTTAACTCCTCTGATAAAAGGGGATTTTCACAGAGACAGTAGCACCAAACAAAGGATTAGACACGTCACACTAGTTACTAGTGTCCAATCAAAGTACCCACTACCATCCTACAGGAGGTCAATCGCTAGCCAACCTGCATAGCTCAATGGTAACGTCTCTGACTGCAGTACTCACTGGGTGACGCGGGTTTGAATCTCAGAAGAAGGGACATGAGTTCCTTCAAGTTGGTTGCAGATACGCCTTGCTGACTTGTGAATGCCAACTAGCACGAAACCTAGGTCCAAGGCTGGGTTTCCTTTGGCCGATTGTCTTCAACCATCTAATACCATCAAATCAATGTTCACCGTGATGGGGAGCTACCTAGAATGGTGGCTACATTGCAAACCTGACTGATAGAATTCAGTCTGCACCAAAACAAAAAGGGCTAGACACGTCACACTAGTTACTAGTGTGACCCAATGGAAATGTAACGCAGCTGAACAGAACAGGCAGTAAATTGCCCGAAAATGCGTCAGGTCAAGTTGCCCCATCAAATTTGAAGGAAGAAATCCAATAAAACTAGAATGATTATGGCTGGTAATACAACCTCGTTTACCGCAAAGCAGAACAGAACTTATGAGCTGAAGAAAATTACTGCAATCATATTACACATACAGAAAAATAGTCATAAAATAGTCAATGTTAACAAGGCAGTTAAAGTTATCTACCGTATTCCGACGAGTTTGCCTTATTACAATAAATTTTTCCTTTCAAGTGTTGGTTTGTAGGGATTTGATTGGTTACAGGATTTTCATCATGAGCTGACATTAGTTAGAAAACCATTGGAAAACCTGGAAGTACTGGACAGCCGTTTGGGACTCTTCAGCAGTACGCACCCACCGGAATTCAAACCCAGGACCTTCTGGTTACAAGGCGAGCTGTCTCGTAGACCATTAAGCCACTGGGACCCGACCCAATGGTCCATGAATTCTAACTTCTGCCAATTCACGACATAGCGCGACTCCTAGCCAATGTCTTCGGCGAGTATTTGTTCTCACGCCCGACCTGCTGCACCCTACTGGTCACAACTTCTCACTAGAACCCCAGGCAACTACCTACCTGAATAGGGCAAGTCACTAGTGAGCATCTCATTGATATTCAAGTGTTGGTTTGTAGGGATTTGATTGGTTACAGGATTTTCATCATGAGCTGACATTGGTTAAAGAACCATTGAAAAATCTGGGAATACTGGACAGTTGTCTTGTCCTAATCTGGGACTCTTCATCAGTACGCACCCACCAGGGTTCGAACCCGGGATTTTCTGGTTGCATTTCATACTACTATTATTATTATTTTATGCATTCACACCTATAATTCAATTCCCTCACCGGATATAACTTCTGAAAAACCATATATATACGATTGTACACCTTGATAATAAATTCGTTGTTTTGATTTTCTATACGTTACAATGGGAATTTTCCATGAAAACAAGCATTATCCTAGATAGATGACGGTTAATCCTAACACATGAGATGACCATTCCTGAGTGGTTCTCTGGGTTCGCAAAATGTACTGATGAACTTTTTATAATTGTCATTCAGCAAAATGTTATCGTGTATTTCTCGAGGGAGAAAAAGAAGAGATCCCATAATGATGGATTGGTTTCCGCTTCAGATCAGATAGAACTGTGTCAGACAATCTGCTGTCAACTGATCTTTTACTTGAAGATCGCCGTCCGAAGCGAAAATATCATGCCGTAAACTCTGTACACGATATAGAAACACTACGCGGAAGACATTGGCTAGGAGTCGCGCTATGTCGTGAATTGGCAGAAGTTAGAATTCATGGACCATTGGATCGGGTCCCAGTGGCTTAATGGTATACGAGCTCGCCTTGTAACCAGAAGATCCTGGGTTCGAATCCCGGTGGGTGCGTCTTGCTGAAGAGTCCCACACTAGGACGAAACAGCTGTCCAGTACTCCCTGTGGCTGGTTTTCCAATGGTTCTCTAACTAATGTCAGCTCATGATGAAAATCCTGTAACCAATCAAATCCCTACAAACCAACACTTGAAAACTTTTATTATTATCATTATCATTATTTTTATCTAGATAATCTTGGTTTTCCAACAGTCAACCACTGCCATGTGTGTGGATCAACTTATCTGCTTCTACGAAGTCAAATATATCAGTTGTTCAGCAGGTTTCAGAACAATATTCTGAATGTCTGCATAGGAGTGTAAGCGATTGCAGCATTACAAATGAATCAGGATTCAAGATAATTTGCAAAGGGATAAAATGTGTTCCGCTCGTAAGATGTAGATATGATGCAGAAGAATTGCAGCTCAGGTGGATGATTTTTATGTGGTTGTGTTCTCTGAGCTGGATAGTTAATTTGTGAAGCTTTCATTGCCCTACCACTAGGCAACATCTTCAGCGTATACTTCAATTTGAATTAAAATAGGCTTTTTGATTTCTCCACGAGTTTAGTTTATAAGTCATCTCTACCGGTGGGTGACCTTGAATGTGATTGATTGTCTTTGTGTGTTTTCACACCCTCTAGGCTACTTGTATGGGTATTGGTACTGATTGTTTCCTTGACATGAACGTTGATTTGGATACGTTACGTAAATGATACATTTGTAATAATCAAAAGAAACGAGTTGCACAAAACTAGCAAATTAATAAACAACGGATTCAAGGACATCAAATTCCATTTTTGGACGTCTTAGTCAAGCGAATAACCACAGGGGAATTAAAAACTCAAGTTTATGGAAAATCAACTCACACAGACCAAATACTGAATTACAACAGCAACAATCCAATAACACACAAAAGGAATTGCATACAAACGTCTTCCAAAGGAATAGATATTGACGGAATTTCATCAAAAAACATATAACCCGAAGCCAACCTACCAAATCAAAGGCCCCAATTGAAAGCACAAAGAAAATCGCCCTACCAAAGGACACCTCAGAAATCACTGCAAGACTCGTCAAACGTTTAGGAATTGACGTCACACACAAACCAACACTCAGCCAGCACTATGCCAACCAAAAGACTCAACAACGAAAGAAGATAAAACCAACATCATCTACAAAATAAATTGCAACGATTCCGAAAAACGCTACATTGGCCGAAGTAGAAATCCCCTTCGG